CTGCCTGGGTCTCTCAATATGGACTTTATGACGCTCTCAGCGACGCCATGAAAAAGTTCGTTGACGGACTGCACGCAGTACACACCTCACGGCTACAATACGACACAATCTTGGACCTGTGGGGTACTGGTCCAAACCGGCCTCCCATCGATTCACACCATCCGGCTGTTAGGACCCATCCAGTCTCCGGTCTCAAGGCGCTGAATGTCAATCCAGGCTTTGTAACCGCCTTCGCTGAGCTCAAGAAGTACGAGTCTGACAAACTTTTGGACTTTTTCTCGTACCACATCCACTCTGCCGACGATCATGCTGTTCGGTGGAAGTGGGAAGTGGGCAGCGTGGCCATGTGGGATAATAGGTGAGTTGGACATAACCAATTCATGTCCCCGTCAACGTTTTCTTGTCCTGAACTCACCCTGCTTAGATGTACAATTCATCGTGTTATCCCGGGGACTTACGATGAACCGCGTAAGGGTATTAGAACAACCGTATTTGGTGAGAAGCGTAAGTTTTGTCATCGCACTCTGATTTCTTCGTAATTCCACAAGTCTAATGGCACAATTAGCCTACTTCGACGTGAGCAGCGAAAGTAGACAAGAGCGGGTAGCAAGATTAAGCAGTCAGTCAAGCTGAGGCTTGGTGCAGAGGGCTCAAGAAAGGCCCGAGAGCTGACATGCACACGCGATTACATCAGCCAAAACTCGGAGACACGATGGTATTTCAACTCTCCACCCTCCTTTACTTATCGGCAATCTGGATTCAGTCGAATTCGAACTCTTCTTTCAGTGATTCTAGCATAAGCAATGGACCTGCTCCTTGAAGTCCGTCTTGCGCAAAATACATTATCTATCATCGGCACAATTCCAACTTAAATATCCTCACGATTCTCGCCCTCAATCCAGCACCCAGATCTGGCTCAAGGTAGTACTCAATCAGGCCTTCTCCGTCCCTTCTTTTGTCTCTTCTTCATTCCCGTGTAATCTTCCAGTCGGTATGTACGTGTATCGCAGTACTAGTTCGCTCTCTGGTCAGTTTTCGTTGGGAATCGCCATCGTCATTGCTGCCCGTCTCGTGCTCCTTGTCATTCTTGAGAAGTCAGTAAATCTCTCCCAGCACCTTATAAGCGGCTTAAATGCCATTGGAAAAGTTGACAACTAACCAGTTCTATCCATGCTGTGGACTGACCAGGATTGGGTTGCACCTTGATCTGCCCACTCCGCGATCCCTTGTTGAATGCGCTTTGGCTATTGGAGTTTTCGAGCGAGGAGGACTTGTACTTGGCTCTCCATCTGAGGTAGAAGGGGCGAAGCATAGGAATATTGATGCAAAGACCGGCAAGCATGAGCTCAACCGTGCAGAGCATGAATGTAGTCAAGGAAGTGCCAGTCAAATTGCCAATAAGATCGATGACGTAGATCTGCCAGAATCGAACGATGCCAATCACACAGCATCTTCGCTACGTCAGTTCACCGAGCCATCGATAGCAGTATTGATAGGGGTCAGGTGAATTGACTCACGCTAAGCCGAGAGCGAAGCAGGCAATGACAGCAAGCTTTTCGGTTTTCCGCATTTGTAATTGCCAGACAGTCCAGATAGGTAGAATCACAATGAACAGGTCGGTGACAACGTTTGTCATGATAATGCACTTGAGTACCAGGATCTGGTCCATGCAGTGACCGATTCGCTGTACTGTCCATTGTTGGGAAATCGGATCACAGAGGAAGATGAAGACAAAGGTGAAGACCAAAGCCCATGCAATGACAACGCTGCCAATAAAGAAGATCCACCACTTGAGTTGAACAGAAAAGGCTCTATGATAGAACCAGAGCTGACTGAGCTTTAAGGACGCCAGTGCCCATAGGTAGATCAGCGTGAAAGCAAAAGTCGTCTAGCACACTTTTAATCAGGTATTGTTCGTAGAATGGAGAGTTTGGGAGAAAGTTCCTTTGCCGAAGTAGATTACCTTCAAGATAAACTGCATGTTATTGAGCACTGTCCAACATGGTCAGCGCCTGAACATTCAAAGTGACGATCGCAAGTCCAATAACACCTTCTGGGTTGTTGACTACTTTTTCACTGGCACACCAGTCGCCTTAGAGCATTCACTTACATTTCGGATACACGTCAGAGTCAGGGTCGAAGTTGTATCCGACACCAGACGTAAAAACTATGGTCTCAGTCAGCATTCCATGCTTTCAAACTGGAAAGCCATGCCATTATATACCTGCTGCATTCATGCCTATTGTACTGCCTGATAGAAGCTGTGATTTCTATTAGACAAAGTACGAGACGCAATCATCTATCAGTCGTAACTCACGCAAGCAGCCAAAGCCAAGATATCATCTCCGCCAACGCCAATTCCACGATATCTGCCCCAGAGTCGGGCAAACACTACCGCTGCAAAAACTGCCCATAGAAAGCAGATAGCTATGAGCGAGTCTCTTGCGCTAGTCGTCATCGGGATATACATGGGTGGCGGCGACGCCAGCGTCGCTGGTGTAGCCATCGAGGACAGTATTCGATCGGGGTTTCGGTTTCAACGAGTCGATGAACGGGATATGCGTGATGATTGTGAGCCAAGTTCCGCAGAGTACTTTATAAATGGGAAGCATGGACAACAGATACACTAGAAGGAGATATATTGACGTAGAGTGGTAGTTCTAGCTCATGGGGTCGCAGTAGTTAAAGTTATGACGCTCAGCCAGTCATACTCGGCGATATTTTGTGGCCCTAGCTAGGTTGAATTTGATCATTAATTTCAGCGCTCTGTAGTAGGCAAATCTGGATGAAGATCTCCGGCTTTTCGATTTAGCTGAAGCCGGGAGACATGTTTTCGGTTGCCGAGCTTTAGAGCCCTGGTTCCGGGTGCACCATCTGGTGTCACCAGGACTTTGCCTCGTCCTCCTGTGGACCACCGTTCCCAGGGTTTGCCAAGCCGTGACTCGCGGAGACCCATTACTGATTCTGAAATATGACTGCACTGAAGTTGAAGTAGTGGTTTTCGTTTCTGGGTACCCATTAACCATGACGCTCCGCAAGTCGTGGGACTTTCTGTGCCGGCACTTAGGAGGCGCTCACGGCATAAACTCAACTGACAAGGATTTGACGAAGTACGAAGTTCCTCATCTCCTTCTCCTCTTACATGCGTGTGAGAATTGGCGTCTAAAATAGAGGCATAGAGAAGCGGGAACGAAATAGTGGTACTTTGGAATTCGATCAGGGATACTGCTCCTCTGAACTTTCGGGTGGTAATGTCTCGCTTGCATTCTTGATGAATTTCAGGAGGTATATGGAGTACGTACAGATGAATACTCCTTCAAGCCTGTTGATCCTCTGAGCTCCTGGAGCTCGCCGTTTCCCAACCATGGGTAACAAAAATCACGAATGCTTGGCATCCGCTGACCCCCGTATTCTCAATCCTGCAGCGTCTCTCTTCGGTTTTAGCCCTTATCTGTCGCCGGTGACTATGAACTCACTCCGCTCAGTCTCGCCAGAACGTCAAAAGTTCATGTTCATAACCAAGTTGTGCCATAGTCGGATTGGGCAAAGAGAAGCGGGCTGGGATTAGCACGAGGCCGCTCAATAGGGTGCTCACAAATGACTACGTGTCCGGAAAAATGTTCCAAGCAGTCGATCTTCTCCTCAAATCGAAGTGAAAACCTTCGGTACTCGAATGAAGTTTCACAGATCATTTCTGATGAAGAATTACATCTCGGCAGTCGGGGCCTGCACACGATCAGTTTTCCGAAGGGAGGCTGTCTTAGACTTGAACACATGCTGAAGCAGTGATGCTCGATAGCCATGTTTCGCTAATCAGAAGTAGTGAGATGGCAAGCATTCAGTCACTCAGTGTAGAAAATTTTATCACTTGACGAATCGATCGTCGTGCGGCAACCATGACTCTTCATCATGGACAAGATCCATCCATCAGACTCGAGTTGGCCATCAATTTGGAGCAGGCGTCTCTTGATCGCAGGGGCTTTGAGTGAGTGGTTCCCGGTGTTTTTCATCGTAGAAATATCCTCTTAGGCTTGAACACATAATAAAACGGTCCATATGCGGGTGTCCCCAAGTTTTTTTTGACAAACATCGCCTGTTCATATTCAGCGAGAGAAAAATGCTGACCCCGACTGGATGGTGAACCAAGTGTCACAAAGTTCCTAAAGTGGAGAGGTAGTGGATGTGTCTCCATTATCTGCCCCCGGTTCGTTCCATTAGGGTTCCCTGTGCGCTTGAAGATCTTCGAAAGATTCGTCTTAGTGCCGTGTGCTGGTCACGTTGCATTCAAGCGGTATCTCTGTGCGTCCCATGGCGATGTCCTGGGCTCCTGACAACCCTGAGTCCTGGCAAGCGTATTTTCAGGATAAAGCTGTACTCCGTCGCGCGACCGCGAATCACGTTTTCTTCCTCCCACGACTGGATGGGGAAGGATCTAGATCATGTCGTCTCCATCAAGACTAATGTAAGGTATACGGGAATGATCTTGCTTACGATCACTCTTCTCCTCTAATGCCACTAAGAGCCCCTGTTCAGAGTGTGTCGCCTACTGCACTTCGAGGGGCTGGCCTAGTCACGGTATATGCGTCAACGGTCGGTGCTGTTGGCTCATTTAGGATTCTTCAACGGGCACTAGATTTCCCATCTCGGAATTGTGGGTCGCCCCCGCAGGCTCGCTGCACTAGTAAACGCTAGTTGGCTCCTCTCGTCAAGGTCGCTCCTTCTCTCAGGGGCTCGTTGTGATCGTGCTTTTGTCTTGATTTCCAGACGCGTCGCAGAAGCTGCTCTTCCAGCCAGTGAGCGCACGCCTTTTATCAATGTTGCAGTGGCTGGTGGGCCAAGATGATTAGAACTGCACTGCCTGGGTGGTGCAGGCAAAAACATGTATGCAGTATTTATATATCCATTGGAAAGGTAGCTGTCACATAAACTTGCGCTTAGCAGAGGTTGCGTCGATAACGCTGCCCTCTTGTGCATACTCAGTCCATCGATTTGTGTCCGAAATGGCCTCCAATGCCATCGTAGATGGTCTCAAGGCTGCCCTGAGTCTCAATGTCGTCGCCTACTTTATTGTTCTTTATATCGCTTATCACATCGCCATAGCCTTGTACAATATCTCGGCATTCCACCCGCTAGCGCACTTTCCTGGTCCAAAGATCGCAGCTGCATCTTACCTATACGAAGCGTACTTTGACTGGTGGCTGCTTGGCAGATATGGCAAGGTCATTGCACGGATGCACGAGCATTATGGTAGATTCGACCAGAACCCTAGTCTGAGACATAATTCGCTGCTGACCAACATGAATCACAGGGCCCATTGTCAGAATAAACCCGGATGAACTTCATGTTTCTGATCCCTACTTCACCGATGAAATATATGCTGGTCCCGGCCGTGTCCGTGACAAGTGGCAACATCAACTCAACACCGGCGGCGCAGGCCCTGTCTCGGTTACCGGCTTCTCCACCGTCAATCATGAGGTTCATCGAATGCGCAAGGGCGCTTTGTCAAAGTTCTTCTCGCGCCAGCAAATGCTGAAACTTGAGGGCGAAGTGCAGGAATTTGCCCAGCTCACGGCAGACAAAATGCTCCGCTCAGCGGGGAAGGAGCCATTCGACGTGAAGGAGGCATTCAATTGTTTTACTGCGGATATCATTTCCCAGTATGCTTTTGGAGAACCCATGGGCTTCATCTCTCAGGAAGGATGGGAGCCCAACTTTGCTACTTGGGTGAAGTCCTTCTTCAAAAGTGCTTATATGATGAGACACAACGCTCTTGGTCGTAAAATGGCTCAGGTCATGCCAATGATGGCTGATTACTTAGGTGAAGACATCAAGTCTGTCATGAGACAGATGAATGTTGTCATCCCCGGGTATATCAAGGCAGCTCTGAGCAACCCGGAAAATGGAAGAGTTTTTGCTGATCTCATGGAATCTAAGACACTTCCCGAAGAAGAGAAATCATTGTACCGACTTTCTGGAGAAGGCTTCAACTTCTTACTCGCCGGTACCGAGACCACTGCTGTGAGAATGGGTTCCTTCCCGTTACGTGCCACGTTGCTAACTATTGTGACACAGGCTACTCTGACTGTCGTGACATACTACCTTCTCGCCCAGCCCCAGACCTATGCTCGCCTTATGGAGCAGTTACATGGTCTCAACCCATCGAACCTGAAATGGACAGAGCTCGAGCAAAAGCCTTACCTGTGGGCAGTCATCCACGAGTCTCTTCGCATGATGCCTGGTGTGTCGCACAGATCTGCCAGGATTGCCCGCGAGGAGGACTTGGTTTACAGGACCCGTGACGGTAAAAAGGAATGGCTTATCCCCAGAGGAACTCCCGTTGGCATGACATCAATGATCAACCACTGGAACGAGGAACTCTTCCCAAACCCCGGGGAGTTCATTCCTGAGCGTTGGTTAATCGACGGCAAGCCGAATCACAAGCTGGAGAAGTTCCTCCTTGCGTTCGGAAAAGGTAGTCGCTCATGTATTGGTGAGAAGTAAGTGCTTGTTCAGAAACCAAGGCTCTCAATCCTCAATGCTAACGGCGCCTCTCAGCTTGGCATACTGCGAAGTTTATCATATGGTGGCTATGATGGCTCTCCGCGTCATACCGAGATCCAATTTGTTTGAAACCACGGTCGAAGATATCTCTTACGATCATGACCTCATCGTCGTACAAACTAAGAAGGGCTCAATTTCTGTCAAGATAAAAATTACCTGAGATGTGTTTTACTGCTTGTCAAGAGGTTACAACAATACTCAAGGATGGTGTGACTATGACTGTCTATTGGCCGACTTCCAAAATTGGCGCTTCACACAAGGTTTAAGGGTCCAAGCCGGACGTGTTCATTCAGTAGTTCTTTCATTCTTTTTGTTTTCTGCCTTCGTTGTCATTGCTACACTGCGGCATAGGTATAGGGCTACTTCCAACGTCAATCACATTTAAATACCGTCAAGAGAAAGTCGAGTGCGCTTTGTGAATAAGACTCGTCTCCACAGCAATCTACTTTAGTAGGAATCCAGTTCTCCTGAGATGCACATCTTTACTGCCTCTGCAGTGACCTGATCTAGATTCTCCACCGGGAGGTTCAAGTCCATATTGGCCAAACCATGCTTGTGCTCGACGTCACCGTCAGTCGCGGAGAAGAAAATGCGCGAGTACATCATTCGCGAGAACCCATTTCTGTCCCCTGATCTCAGTGCCTCGTAGCCAGCTTCCCACCTCTTTTTCGAGCTCTCATGGTTGATGATCCAGTCCTCATTTGTTGTATTCGTGACCCTCTTCATGCTTTCGAACATATCTTTTTGAGATACCAAGAAGCTCGAGACGTAGAACACATCGTTGGCCCAGTTCTGAATATTGGGAGATTGATCATCCTTGTTATCAGGCAGCCACTTGAGGCTCAAGAAAGCGGCCAGTCCGCGGCCACACTGAGACCAGGTGGAAGTATTGATCTTAACATCGCCCTCATCGAATAGGGTGAGTGACTTGTTTTTGACGTCAAATCCATATCGGTTAGGCGAGCCGGCCACGCTGAACTCGTACCAAAATCCACAAGACATGATGATCCATTCGCTTACCCCAAGGCGCTCAATCTCTTTGACGGCTCCTTGAAAAGAAGAACCGAGAAGAGCATCTTTCATCATGTCTTCATTCTTCGGATCAGGACCCCACGCGTTCGGCATGACGTAAGGGACGCCAGCTTTGGCCGCAGCCCGTACAAGCTTATTTTGGGTCTCCTGGCCGACGGTGGACTTCATTGTGATGATCAAGTATTGCTGTCCCCTTAGAGCCTCCACAATCGTGCTCTCGTCGTCGTAGTTGACCTTGGCAGCAATAACGCCGCTGGGTAATTTGGAATCGCTGTCATGTCGGGTAATTGCGGTGACCGAGTGCTTTCCACCTTTCAATAGCTCCCGAGTTACAAACTTTCCCATGGTACCAGCAGCCTTCGAACTGTCAGTCTCTTTTCTTGTGCTTTGCTGGGGGGGTCGCGATTCGGTTTAAGAGGTACTTACACCGACGATGGCAACTTTCTCGATGCGATTCACAAAGCCTTCCGGCTGATCTTTGGCAAATCGAAGAGTCTTGGGAGCCATTGTGTAGATGATATCTGAAAACCGACACGGTGGGTTTTTGATTGAAAGGTAGCGCAGTTGTTGATAATGGTCACTCAAGGGTGTTGGCCTTGATAATGTTTTGGAACCAGTTGACAAGCTAGGAATGTTTTCCGATCAGGTAAATAGCATGGTGGATTTTATATGTATTTCTTCAGCGCCTGGAAATTAATTGCCTTTCTAAAACGTGGAAAAGGTACTTCTGCATCATTGTGGATCATCATCGTGTAAGACAATGGGAGCATCGTGAGGCAAATGAGACCGTGCGCTAGACTCGGATTTACAGGCACACTAGGCGCAAATACGCTTCGCTCTGGGTATGAGATTTCAAATGGAAGAAGTATTTCAGTTGCAGACAACGTCATTACGTCTTTTACGCTAGCTACTCGTCGTATTCTAATATATGTTGGCCCTGCCGGCATTAAGCAGTCTAAGTGCGCAAAATGCCTAAAAAAAAGAATAGATCATACTCGGTTCCCTGGACACTACATTAGGCGTGGGAGCTTATCGTAAGTCCGCCGGTTGCGGCCGGGAGTCGGAAACCTGAGTTTCCATATTGGGAACACCCAGCTCCGACGCTTGGCCATCGGGCGACGCTTACCCCAGAAACTAGAAACATTGGACAGCCACAGTTATTGACGTATTCCTTCACAATTCAGGCGACAGGATATCCGTTTTAAGTGATCCCCTCCCATATTTGCAACCTCTTAACTCCGCCGGGATGCCATCTGTCTTTGCGCCAAGCCGGCGCCCCATCTTCCCAAGCCGGGCCCCACGCCGTAATCATCAAGTATCCATGGCTTTGGCATTCTCCACACCCTTGACATCACATTCTCTTGCACGCAAGACGCGACGCTGATGTGATATATTACTCACAGCGCGTCGCTTGATACTTTAGAAATCTTCTTATTCTGAGAGGCCTCCGTGTTTTCATGACGCTTTGTACAGACGCTTAGCGGGCAATGACGCCCTAGAGTATGTGCATTTTGATATCTACAGTGGTTTTACAACACAATGTGCCAAGCCCGATACGGCTGGCGGTGGTGACAATGTATCTACAGGAATTGAAAGCCTTCGACAACAAACAATCTCAAAGATTTGCGTCAGATTGTCGGCTTATTCGGTCAAGTTATCCTCCGCGATGGTGATGGAGTCGACGGTCCATGTGATACCGTTGTCCTTCGTCTGCCATTCTGTGTGGGTAGCGTTGGTATAGGAGATAATGTCGGCCAAGTTTGTAACAGCCTTGTCGAAAACAAGGGTGATATTGGTGTACTTGTAAGCCGGCAGAGTCCCGCAGCCATCGCCGTAGCACTCGTTACCAGAGTAGAAGACGGCAGGTCTCATGCCTTTGGCTGTAGTGGGTTGTCAGCATTCGTCTTGGAAGTTGATACGGGGCCTGACTTACAGTCAGACTCGGAAGAGATGAGGTCTCCGTTCTGCCAGATCTTCTGGTCGATCATGTCGGTGGAGGAATTGAGAGAAACTTCGACACTGTAAGCAAATTGATCTCGCAATCGAATCGGGCATAGCAAACATACTCTCAAACTCAAGAGTGGCCTCCTTGTTGACCGGGACGTAAGCCTGGCCAATTTGACCACTGGGTTGGTAAGTGCTGGCAGCAGCACACCACTGCGTGTTGGGAGCGCTGCAGCCCCAGACGGAGTTATCGGGTCCCCAGTTAAGGAGGGGCTGGACAAAGTTCATGTTGAGCACGTCGCCGTTGTTGGGGTTGTCCTGAACACCGATCCAGAGGGAGAGCCAGCGCTGAGTCTCGTCGGTCTTCACCCAGTTTGTGGGCGGGTTGGGGACCTCCATGTTGTAGGTGGCCTTAGTGATATACTGACCACCGGTGATAGGGCCAAGGTAGAACATGTTGCCATACTCATAGTTGGGGTAAATGTCGGCTCTAGCTCCCAGAGCCAGGAAAGCGGCGGCAGCGATGATTGAGTTGCGCATCTTGTAAGGACTGTTGAGTGAAAAGAATGACGGGGAACGAACGACGAGAGATCCGGTCTCTTTAGTTGGCAAAGGTCCAAAATCGAAGAAGAGCGTGATGCGGTTGGCTATCGTGAGAAGAGTTGCCAAGCCCCGTGCTTTTGTTCTTATAAGTCTGTAAGCCTTCATTTAGTTGATACTACCCCTAGTTGGAACATTTGGTAATAAAGGTGGACGTGCCCCTTATCGTGGGTCGGTTCAGTCTACGGAGAAATTAGTCCTGCCCACACGGGTAGATCGGCATCCAGCGCAACGGTAAGTGGCGGAATGATATAGATGAGATCGTCCGTCGGTTTCCTCTTGCGCAGCTCAGAGTTCATTTTCGCCTGTGCTCTGTTGGCGCGACTCGCCAGAATCATCAAGCAACAGAGGCTCAGAGCGCGTATCACACCTGGCGGGCCAGAAGCCATCACACCACCCCGGGATACCGACCCGATGCACTATATTCTACGGCATAGACCCGAGATTGCAACACACCTTTTGCACGCCTCAAAGCTTGAGTATTCTTGTAACTTGCTTGTCCGCCGTCGTCACCGGATCCATCGCAAGCTGAAGATTTTGAGCTAGACTCGGAAGAGTCAACATAACCCCGCAACGGTTTCAAGTGGGATACCTAGCTCAATACGAAAATTGGCCGATTAAAAGAGCTGCCCTGAAGTCTTGAGCTCCCTGATTCATCCGAAAGGTTGATTAACTTGTCTTATCGGGACAAGTTACCGTCTTCTTCCTTGAGTTGTCAACCCTTGTCAGCAACACATGAATATCCACCTGCGAAAGGGTTAGAGAAAGGGAAGTTTTCACAACATAACTATCGCTCACGAATTGATCTGGAAAGGGTCTTGATGAGGCGCGTGTTTCTCTTTAGGCTCTCCTTTCGTTTCAACAACAATCCACCCCAAGCATTGTAGTCAAGCATGGAGTTGCTGTGGTTTTGGCACGAGCTCAGTTAAGGTTCAAATGCCTTAGCTTTGGGGTAGTCTAAGCTGTCAATGCCCAGATTGAAAGCAAACTCTATTCAATGGAAGCACCTCAAAAGTCAGAAGCTTATTCTGAACAATGAGGTAGTGGGTTGGCAGGGCTTGTAACCAACACAGACGAGAGCCTCGCGGATAGGCTGCGGAATGGCCGTATTTACTTGCACAGATCAAATAGTAACTTGGCTCTAGCTAGTTTACAATATCGGAGCATTATGCCTTTTGAAACAGAACAATAGTACCCGGGGGTGAATTTCGCGTTAGTAATAGTACCGGGAGAGCCATTAGCATTAGTCATTGGTTGTCCTGGTAAGATTGTCAGAGATGAACGAAGGCCGTGATCAAAACCTCGATGTTCAGAACGCACAAGTCTTCAGACTTCTAACATATTTGAGTGATTGACATCACACAGCCTAAGTCCCCACGGATCCGAAAATTTGTGGGAAAGTGTGCGTCGCCTTCTTAGCATCGAGTAGTAACACTAATGGGGCTTCATCTAAGTATTTAATGTATCATAAGGTTAGATACCAGACCGACGAGAACCTGTCTCAAGGGCGACTTTGACCTCCCATGTCTACACAGCGCTTACTACCGCAGTACACTTTAAATGCGGTATTGCGGGACTGCGGAAGAGCTCAGAATTCCCTGCTTTTGAGTCGCCACTGACTTTGAGAGCGATAGACCTTTCCCTCGGTGTTAACAAGAAACTCGTTGCCAGTCCCAACTTTATTTCTCGACGTACCTATCATATTAAATTCAAGTGCTGGGGGCAGAAAGGACTATTACTTGACTACCTCAGAAACATGACAAGAAGTTCTAGCGCGGAGCAGAATGTGGATGTGTTCATTGTCTTCAAACCCTGCCTTTCATTCGATGTTTGCTAGGCCATTCTTACGCCCATGGCCGGATTTGAGCTCAGCTCATTGATTCTAGTTCAGAAAAGAGGTGAGTTCGTCGACCAGGCGCTGGTCTTTGGCGACTATTAATGCGATCACACGACGTTCTTTCGTTCTTTGGAGGGGCGGGTGCTGCGGCCTCAAGGGTTGCATCTGTGGGTAACGCGCATTTTGTTTTGTATATGCATGGTACTTTGGTTTGTTCATCTTTCTGATTATGATAGTGAACACATGTGTGGCTAAAAACGAAAGAGCTTAAGCTAGGCTGCATCGAGTGACCCTGGATGCTGTCAACCGCTCTTTGGTCCGTCCAAGGGGCTAACAGTTGGGTCCCAGCAGACTGGGGAGTACTCGTCTGTCTCCAAGTTTTTGACGTCCTCGTCCGTCAGTTGAAAATCGTAAATCTTGGTGTTATCCAGGATACGAGTGGGCGTCACACTCTTGGGGAGAGGGATGTAACCCTTCTGCAAGCTCCAGCGCAGCAGGATCTGGGCCTCAGACTTGCCATACTTCTCGGCCAAGGCCTTGAGAGTCTTGTCGCCCCATCTCTCACCTCTGACTAGAGGGCTATAAGCCTCGATAGCGACGTTGCGCTTCTGGAGCCACTGAACGATGTCGTTGCGTGCGCACCAGGGATGGATTTCGTACTGAGCGACGTTGATGGCGCCGCCCTTACCTTTGCCGCCGCGCTCTTCCTCAAGCTCCTTGATATGCGTTTCGAGCTCGTCCAGGTGGTGCACGCCGTAGTTGCTGACGCCAATGGACTTGACCAGACCAGCCTCTTGGGCCTCGACGAGGGCCTTCCAGGCGCCCTTGCGGCCCTCCGAGCCGCCATAGGGGCAGTGAAGCAGCATCAGATCAATGTAGTCGAGGCCGGTCTTTTCTAGAGTATCCTTGACCTGATCCTCGGCATCGTCGTAGTTGATGTAGCGAACCTTGGAGGTGAAGAAGACTTCGGAGCGGGGGATATCCTTGACACCACGGATGGCAGCTCCGGCACCAGCCTCGTTCCTGTATGAAGCCGCCGAGTCGACCTTTGATGGCGGTCAGTAGGTGACGAGAATCGAGGCTTGTATGGTAAAAACTCACATGGCGGTAGCCGACTCTGAGAGCTTCAGTAGTGACCTCTTCAGCTTGCTCGGGCGCACTAGCAATCAATGTTGGCAATGTCAATAGGTTTGATGTGTTTGCAGTTGTACTTACGTCTTCCATAGCTATGTCAATGTCAGTAATAAGGTCACGATAATCGCGCAAGGGGATGAGTCGTACGCCATACCCAAGCACGGGAATCTCGAGGCCGTTGTTCAGCTTCTGCTTGGACTGAAGTGTGAGTGCGGACGCCATGTTGTGGAAAAGGTGCGCGGAGAAAGCGATGGGTTGAATGAGATTGCGCTTTTGAAGATGAGATGAGGTGAAGAATACAGATGGCCTGGCTGAGAGCACTTGCATTCGCAATCTGGGCATTGTCTGTCTTCTCGAATGAGGGCATTAGTCATCCCAGTCCAGGATAAAATGAGGAGTGATCCCCCGCCATTTGCACCATCCAATCTGTCCCGTCGGCTGCATGTTCGGTGTTGCTGTGCCGAGCTTCTGCGCGCTGTCGGAGACTCCTGTTCATTGGATCACGAATCGTGTCTCACACGGGCGTTTTAGTGAGCACAGGCGACCGTCCAGGGTGTTCAGGTACCTACGTCAGGGCATGGGCCCGGCCCAAAAAAGGAGGGGGAGGGGCAATGGGCAGCGCTGATTACCCCGCCATTGAAGCCCCTCCATCGCTATCTTAAGATCGGGCAGTATTCTTTCTTTTTTGTTGTATGCCCGAACCTGAAAGAGATTGAAGATGCGCCGAGTCACCTACACAAGTTTATGACTTTATCATGTTATTGAACCTCCTATTAATAAGCATCTTTCTTTTTCATGATGCACTTGTTTGGTATCATTTACTCATATATATGTATCCGCAGTCGAATCAGATGATGGACTCGCCACCCGCTTCACCGCTAGCTGCAGCACTATCTTCATCCTCATCGTCGTCCAGGTCGTGGATGGGGTAGGACAGAATAGCGGCAATACTGCCCAGCATGTCCAGCCGCTTGCCGCTCTCGTGGTCACTGCTGAGAATCCTGACATCGCCACCGTCCGCTTTGACCTTGTCCACCATGGCCACGTACTTTTTCCTCGTTGGAATGTCCGAACTGCGGAATAGCGAGTTGTTCATGATGAGGATGCCGCCCCCAGGGCCGATGGCACCTTCGGCGACCGCTTTTGCCACTGATGTTGTTCCGTACCACGCCCTTCCGTCCTCTAGTCGGAGTCGTTCGAAAAACTGATCCATCAGTTTGGTCTCCTTGGTGAACTTGAAGTCCTTGAGCTTATTGCCCATCTCAGGGCTCTTGAGAACCTCGTTGAGGCTGTGCACGTGGCCCGAATTTGTGTGAATGACGACCGCCTCCCTAGCGATTCCCGACAGCTTCTTGTCTGATTTGTCCCTCCCCTCGTCCGCAATGTACTTTTTGAAATCGGCCGCGGTGAACCCAGGACTAGCGAGGAGCAGGGGTCTCGGAGTGTCAAAGTTGACGGTTCGGAGAAGGGCGGTCAGCGTCTTTTCGTAGAAGCGGGTCATGCCCTGTGAGGTTTCGGTTGCGGCGCTTCGCTTTTTGGGTATGACGCTTTCTATTCGCTGCTTGACGACGGTGCGGAATTGGCTGATGAGGCAGATGTTGGCGATGCCCTCCTGCATGACGACGGCAGCCATGGCGCCATCTTTGTCGTCCGACAGACTCTCTGATAGTGTGTCTTTGGCGACCGAGTCCCAGCCCTGCGGCTTGCTCAACGTGAAGGGGCGAGAGACCTCGAGGTCAAGCGTGTGATATTGACCCAGACTGACGTAGGCATTTTCCGACTTGACTACGCCGCTGACCTGGAGCTGACCGACAATGGGATCGAAGAAAGTGCTCTTGACTTGGATCGCAAGGACGGTGTGAACTCGTTCAGAAATCGTGCTGCCGGTTTTCGTTTCAGCGACGACTTTCCTCACGGCATGCGCCATGACGAGGTCGCCAGGTGTGATGAGGTTGTAGGCATGCCACTATTATGCTATTAGTCGGACTGAGTCGGTGTGTTGTGAATAGCGTCTCGTCGCAAGATGTCGCAGCTTTAGACGCATCAGGCAATGGGATAGAGTGGGTTCGTGGACTTGCCATATCCTCAGAATCTTCGGGCATAAGGGTAACTGCATCCTCGGCAATATTTTGCGACGGCTTGGTAGGAACAAGCTTCATTGTCTAGGAGGGTGTGCTATTGAAGCACGCGTGGAAGAGGTAAGAAATTACTAGGTTCGTGTTGGGGAGAAATTGAAGTTGCGACGATGACGAAGATCGAGAATGTTTGAAAATATCTGGACGCAGATTGGCAGATTGAATTACCTCTGGGCTCTAATTAGCTGCTGGGGAACGGAATGCACTGCGCATCATTTCAGGCCGTCACTGCACTGTACCTCCGAAAGTGACGCCAGAAGCGCTGGGCTGCCCGGTGGCGGGGTTGAGGTAGGGTACGTACCTAGGTATTTTTATGAATTCCATGTTTCTTTCTCTTATCGTTATCGCTATCTATCGGAGACAGGTCCGATAACGATCCTCGTCTTCCTCCAATTCCAGGTCCTCAGAGCCTCTCTTGGGGATTCAGGGTCATTAAGGTTCCCCAAGTGCTCAAGAAACTCTACCTCAGCCATGACCACGTGAAAGGCCGAAAGGGAGAGCACAGTTGGGTTTAGGTCTTCCCTCCATGATCCTAGAAGTCGAGAGATCCTCAGCTCCAGGCCGGTGATCGAGGTTCCCTCTCATTGTGAAATTGAAACACTGGACGAATCCCCGACGCCTCAGAAGGGTCGGAGCTGCCACTTACCTCGCTGCCAGGTGCTTGCTTCGAATTACGACCGAGGTCAAGATCCTTTTCGAAGTAGACTCATTTGAAGTCAATTATTTCAGCAAATTGCCCCGAAAATCACTCATACCTTTTTTACCATTTATGAATACAGGCACGTAGACCCTTTGGTCCCTCTCAAGGGTATCAACCCAAACCCCCGTGCGGTGCGTGCTCATCGACCGGCTTAGGCGAGTTGAGTTCAGGCATAGTCGGGCGAGTGTAGATCGACGTCATAGGTCTCGTCATCGTTTTGATACCCTGCCATTGCTCAAAGTACCCTTACTTTATCCATAGATACTCAACATAATAGCATATTCATTTCCTCGGCGCATATAGGTAGATATGGAGTATAATTTGCCGGCGCGCATAATTGAATGGCGGAGAGGTTTGTGGGGAAGCGATAAGGAGTGTGCAAATGTGTCCAATACTCATTTCTTACTATGAACTGCAGACTGCCCAGTCTAGACTTTCTAAGAAAACGCCATGTTTGGAGTCTGGATGAATTAGATCTCTTTTACTGTGCCCCTAGTTACCGAGGAACGAGGACACATCAGAAAGCTGGCTGGTGGCGATCGTCCAGTGTCGGCATCAGTAACCAGGCGATCCAAATCCAAGTTCCAGCCTAGTGTCAGTGCTCCAAGCCTCCAATGTGATTTTGTGTGTGTGTGTGTGTGTGTGTGTGTCGTCTTGGGTTTCGCCTTGCCTTGTGCTACCTCATGGGACAGGATGAGTGACTGAGTCTTCCATGTCTCCGATTTCCCTCGCAATCGTTTCTTACATCTGACGCCAACCTGCTGTTTTCGGCGCACTTTCCTCTGCCACCTTACCTTCCTTAGGTACCTTGCGGTCCACTCTCTGTGCCTTCCTCTTTCCAAGGTTCTCTTTCATTTCGATCATTTCCTTGCTCATCCTTTCCGCGGGCTTCCATCGTCGAGATAAATACTCCTCCAAGTCATCATTGCGCACTCAGTAGGGAGAATCAAACCATCGTCAGCATACCTTAGACGTCGTCATCTCCACTACGAGTGTCAAGTGCGCGCAAACTCAATCGCCAATTGCCTCGTGCCTCGGCTCCGTAATCATTACTCCAGACTCTATTTTTCTTTCTTGAATCTGGCCAGGATAAGGTACATACATACAATACGGCCAGATCTGGGCCAGTCTCATCTTTTCCGACTCATTGCGCCAGAAAAAGAAACACAACGTTTCTGCGTTCCTGTTCCCCCACACTCTGCCCTTCTCGAAGCGGGTGCATCCTGGACAGCTGCAAGGGAAGCTATGCGGATCCAGCCGAGAATCGACGGAGACATACAACTTTATCTTTCTTGATTACCTTCCTGCGTACTGCGTATTCTTCCGAGTACAGATACGTTCCAACACCATAATTTTGCCGTCAATTTACCAAGCCAACTTGAATTGCCCGCATACGGCAACTAGCAGGTTCTGGAATTGCTTACCGACCAACACCAGCTATACCTTACCTAGCTGTTCATCAAAGAAAGGGTGGAAACGCGGGCTGCGTGGATGCCTTGCTTTAGCATACGGAATACGCGGACTGGACGAATCCGAACCCGCGTAATACGTGCCCAGTTTCCCAACCACCAGAAAACACCACCACCGACCGCGTTTGACCAACGACGGTCGAGCGAGCAAGCGGGCGCCGTTTTCCTTTGGGAGAAAACCTCGCGCCGCGCCCAGCACAAAGTCCACTTCTTCTCGTTTCCCAAAAAAATTTCGTATCGGAAACGACGGGATCCAGGAGAGCGATATACCCGGTAGACAGGCCCTACCTTTCAATTCACGGCCACCCGCGGCGACGGGCAATATCGGCCGTCTGCGAATTCCGGCCTCCCCGTTGGACCGTCAAATCATCCGCCCACCGTCGTCACACTGCTCCAATTCCATTCGTGAAGCTCGGGTGTCTCGGATCACTCGTATTACTACATCTTGAATCACTCAACCACCCACCGACGGCCACCACACCTCGAATTCAGGCCCGCGACCTACTCAGCTTACCCGCGCTTACCTCCCACGCCCACAAACGGCCCAAGTGCCTGCAACTCTGTACGCGGCTATCTTCCTTGTCGGCGTTCGCATGATGGGAAATGTCGACCCCTAGGTCTTCTGCCATAAAATCCATGGATGCTGGCCGTCGCGAAGATGGCCAGGCACCACCACCACTGCCGCCCCCGGCACCCGTTTCTGAACCTCGTCTCTCGACCCCCCTCAGCCGTGAAGGCTCTTCGACTGCCCAGAAGTCACCTGGCGGTTCAGAGTCTCAAGGTACGTAAAGATATGCGGATCTGCCACGCATTGGGGCCTTGGTTTTCCAAGGTTGAGTCTGGGGACCGTTATTGACCCTGTGTGGCGCACATGGTGGATGTTAATCGTTGCATAGGCAGCAGTTTTCCGACCTTTGCCAAGAAGACACCCACGAAGCTCGTCCGGAGTACGACGCCGAATGCAAAGGACGGCAAGGCCGACAAGCCCTCGCCAGTCGCCGTCCAATCTCCTGCCGCAATTGACCCGCTATCTCAGGTTCGTCGCCGCCGTTGGCATGGCGGTAGGAAAGCCTCTGGTTGCTAACCTTCCACAGCACATTCTGATGCGGACCAACACTGGTCATACTGTTCCTCCTCAGCTTCGTAAACGCCCCGATAGCCCTACTCAGGTTCCAGAGCAGCCAACGAAGCTTCCTGCGCATGCATTCGATGCCACCAAGGACAAAAAGTCCGCACTCTTGAGTCCCCTCGTTCATGCTAGTGGTACTAACTAATTGTAGGAAAGGGCCATCATTCTTAAGTCGATTGAGTATGCGGGGAGGACGAAGACGCGAAGACGACGAGGACTCCGTCTTCAGCGATCACCGAATAGATGGGACCAATGCCCAGGCCTTTGGCTCAGTCATTGGGTCCGGATACATACCCCACCACAAAGAACCTCCACGGTACATCCGGGTCAAGGCACACAGCAAGAAGATCCGCGAGTTCAATCGCATGTTTCTTGCTCAGGAGCTGCTCATTCCACAGCCCGACTCGAAAGACGATACGAATACGGCAGCAACAGCATCAATCGACACGCGACGATCGAACACAAGCGGAGCTATTTGGGCAACGGAATTCAGTACCGATGGCAAGTATTTTGCTGCTGCAGGAAAAGACCAAGTTGTGAGAGTATGGGCTGTGATCACGACGCATGAGGAGCGGCGTCGTCACGAAGAAGAGGAAAACGCGAACGGGGCCAGTGGAGAAAGGTTGAGTGCACCTGTCTTCCGAAGCAAGCCGATTCACGAGTTCCGAGGGCATACCGGCGAAGTACTAGACCTCAGTTGGAGCAAGAACAACTTTCTGTTGTCGTCGTCGATGGATAAGACTGTTCGTCTATGGCACATCAGCCGGAAAGAATGTCTCTGCACGTTCAAACACAAGGACTTCGTCACGTCAATAGCGTTTCATCCTACTGACGACCGGTTCTTCCTTGCGGGATCCCTCGACTCGACACTGCGTCTCTGGAGTATTCCGGACAAAGCTGTAGCTTACTCTACCCAATTGTCTGATCTCATCACGGCTGTGGCGTTTTCGCCTGACGGGAAGACTGCAATAGCCGGAGGGCTCTCTGGCATGTGCATGTTTCACGACACGGAGGGCCTCAAACAGAACTCTCAGTTGCATGTGCGATCATCGAGAGGCAAGAATGCCAAGGGCAGCAAGATTACTGGTATCAAGACGATGGTCATTGATGACGAAGTTAAGGTTTTGATCACATCCAACGACTCAAGAGTACGCATATATAATCTGCGCGACAAGAGCCTGGAATCCAAGTTCAAGGGCTACGAAAATACTTGCAGTCAAATTCACGCCGACTTCAGCGACAACGGCCAGTGGATAGTGTCTGGCAGCGAAGACAAGAGAACGTATATCTGGTCTGTGCATTGCCCAGAATCAGACAAGGAGAAGCCTTGCGAATACTTCGATGCCCACTCAGATCGAGTTTCAACAGCAATATTCGCTCCGACCAAATCGCGTCAGCTCCTGGGTGGCTCGGGGGATCCTCTTTACGACCTCTGTAACCCTCCCCCAGTCACTCTAATGAGCCTCGAGGAGTCCATTGCCAGTCAAGCAGGTAACTCGGACGACGAAAAGCCTCAGGTCAAGCAGCAGAAGATCAAAAGACCGGAAGAATCGCCTGCTTACATCGAAAAGTCGAAACATTTTGATGGGCAAATTCTTGTCACCACGGACCAATCTGGGGGCATCAAGGTTTTCCGCCAGGACTGCGCATACATCAAACGTCGCCATGAGAACTGGGAAACGGGTTCAACATTCTCCCGCCGCATGGGAGGAAGCATTGTTGGACGCAGCGGGAGTGTAGCAACGCGCACAAGTGTCGGTAGCCAACCGCGCTCACGCCGGGGCTCGGTATCCCGCCTGGCAGCTCCTGGCGGTGCTCAACTGAGCTCCGACATCAATACGTGGCGGCATGGGATTGAAAGTGGGCGCCCGAGCTCCATGATCATTACAGCATCTCAAAGCCCACGGTCTCTATCGCCTAACAAGGCGTCACGGACGCCAATTAACAATAGTGCCTCCAACCTTGCATCAGAAGCGCGAAAACAACCATACAGTGGATCATCACCACCAGCACGTCCGCAACTCCCAGCTAGTCCCACATCGAGCCGGGCTTCCCGTGACCGGGCTCCGTCCATCCCTCCGACCCCGAGTTTCTCTTTTCTATCCGCCGATGACGACGAAAGCGACGAGCTTCGACTTGATCCTGCGGGCGCCAGCTATTCTTTCTGGAACCTCAATCGATGGCGTGGGATCTCATCCTTGCGATCGTCGGTGTCGTTTAGTAACGTCAATACATCGCAATCGCAGGTTGGCCAGGGGCGAAATAGCATGAGCACAGCAGACACGATGCAAACTTCGGCTAGTAATGGAACAAAAGCCTCCCGCCGCAAGAGCTTAGGTGCGGGCATATACGACTTGGCCGTGCAAGAAGATCACAAAGGCACAACGAAGAGCATTGAGGATGCTGCTGATAAAGCTGAGGTAGATGAACATTTACTACAGCCAGACAATTCGCGGATCGGAGATCGTCTTCGGAACTCGGTTGTCAGCCGTCTAAGCTCCGAGTATACCAGCGAAGACGGCGAACAAATGACTTGTCAAAAATGTGCGAGCAAGGATTTCAAAGCGAAGAGAGTTGGTGGCAGACAACGCCTGATCTGCGTCAAGTGTGGTAAG